ACTCTTCCAGAAAACTAAAGAGAAAGAAACACTATTTATTCTATGCAGCCAGAATGACCCTAATACCAAAGTCAGATGAAGCCATCACACGAAAAGAAAATTACAGACTAACATCCCTCATGAACATAGCTATAAAAATCTTCAACAAAATATTAGCAAATCAAGTCCAGTAGCATATTAAAAGGATTATTCACCATGACCAAGTTTGATTTATGCAGAATGCAAGGGTAGTTCAACATAAGATAATCAATCAATATAATAGACCACATTAATATAATGAAGGAAAAAAACACACACGATCATCTCAACAAACACAGAAAAGACATTTGGCAAAATCCAACACCCTTTCAAGATTAAAAGAAAACAAACTCAGAAAACTAATAACACAAAGAAAATTCCTCAGCATGATAAAGCATATTTATGAAAAACTCATAGCTAGCATCATACTCAATGGTGAAAGATTGAAAGCTTCTCCCTAAGGCCAGGAATAAGAAAAGGATGGCCACTTTCACCACTGCCAGAACTATCAGACAGGAAAAGGAAACAAAAGCATACAAATTGGAAAGAAAGAAGTACAGCTATCTCTATTTACAGATGGCATAATTTCAAATATAGAAAATCCAACATAATCCACAAAATGGCTGTTAGAGTTAATAAAAACATTGCAGGGTACAAGATTCACATACAAGTCAGTCATGTTTTTATACACCAGCATTGAACAATTAAAAGAGAAAATTAAGAAAACAATTAAGTACAATCACATCTAAAAGAATTAAATAGAAGGAAAGTTAACCAAGGAATACATCTAACTTGATTGGATATAAATGCAAAGACATCTTGTGTTCATGAATAGGAAGACAAGAATATTAAGATATCAGTACCACCCAAAAACAATCTACAAATTCAACACAATGCCTATCAAAACGGCAACACCCTTTTCCAAAAAAAAAACCAAAAAAAAAAACCAAAACAGATCCTCAAATTCATATAAAATTTTAAGGGGCCCCCAATAATCAAAACAATCTTGAAAAAGAAGAATAAAATCAGAGGACTCACACTTCCCAACTTTGAACTTACTATGAAGCTATAGTAGCTAAAACTGTATGGTACTGGCATAAGGATACACATACAGACCAATGGAGTAGAATAGAGAACCCAGAAATAAACCCTCACATATATGGTCAGTTGATTTTGACAAGGAAGCCAAGACCATCTAATAGGGACGGGTCAGACCTTTCAATAAATGGTGATGGGAAAACTGAACATTCACATGCAAAAGAATGAAGTTGGACTCTTGTCTTATAGCATATATAAAAATTAAAATGGTTTGAAGAAGCTGGGTGCAGAGGCTCACCCAGCACTTTGGGAGACAGAGGCGAGAGGATTGCCTGAGTCCAGGGGTTCAAGATCAGCCAGGGCAACTTGGCGAGACCTCAACTCTACAGTAATTTTAAAAAATTATCCGGGTGTGATAGCATGCACCTGGAGTTCTGGCTACTTGGGAGGCTGAGGCAAAAGGATCGCCTGAGCCCAGCGGGTCGACACTGGGGTGAACATGAGCACTGCACTCCAGCCTGAGAGACAGAGTGAGACTCCAACTAAAAAAAAAAAGAAGAAGAATTAGCTGGGCATGGTAGCGCAGCTACCCCTATAGTTCCAGCTACTTGGAAAGCTGAGGCAGAAGTATCACCTGAACCCAGCAGATCAAGACTGTGGTGGCCATGAGAGTGTCACTGCACTCCAGCCTGGGTGACACTTCTACTCTAAAATAAAATAAAATGGCTCAAAGATCCAACTAAAGACCTAAAATATACCATAAAATTCTCAGAAGAAAACATTGGGGAAAATCATCATACTGTATTTGGCAACAACTGCATAGGTATGACACCAAAAGCACAGGAAACAAAAATAATCGATAAACTAAGCTTCATCAAATTAAAATCTTTTGTGCATCAGAGGACATAAAGTGGGAAAAAAAAAACCCCAGGAGAATGGAAGAAAGTATTTGTAAATCATATATCTGACAAGAGATTAATATTCAGAATATACGAGGAACTCCTACAACTTGACAACAAAAAAACAATTTAACACAAAAATGAACAAAGGACTTGAATAGACATTTCCCCAAATAGGATATACAAATGGACAATAAGTACATAAAAAGATGCTCAACATTATTATTCATTAGGAAAATGCAGAATAAAACCACAATGAGATGCCTCGTCACACTAACTAGTATGGCTGTAATCAAGAAAATAGAAAATGCCGGGTGCAGTGGAACATGCCTGTAATCCCAGCACTTTGGGAGACAGAGGCAAGAAAATTGCCTGAGCCCTGAGGTTCAAGACCAGCCTGGGCAACTTGGCAAGACCATGTCTCTACAATAAATCAAAAAATCATCCAGGTGTGGTGGTGCATGCCTGTGGTTCCAGCTACTTGCAAGGCTGAGGTGGAAGGGTTGCCTGATCCCAGCAGGTTCAAGGCTGCGATGGCCATGAGCTTGGTGCCACTGCACCACTGCAGCCTGGGTGACAGAGTGAGACTCTGACAAAGCAAAGCAAAGCAAAGAGAGTAACAAGTGTTGGTGGAGATATGGAGAAGTTGGAACCCTCACGCATTGCTGGTAGGACTGTAAAACAGGGTAGCCACTGGTGCAAACAGTTTGGCAGTTCCTCAAAAGGTTAAAAGCAGAACTATCATATCACTCAGCAATTCCACTCCTAGATATGTGTCCAAAGGAAATGAAAGCAGATATCTGTACACCAATGTTCACCGCTGCAATAGGTGGAAACAACCCAAATGTACATCAACAGATGAATAGATAAAGAAAATATAGCATATTTTCAATATAATATAAACATATTTTAAGCTATTTGGCTTAGAAAATGAAACTTTGGCTTTAATATATGCCACAACATATATTGTATGAATGGACCTCGAAAACATGATTCTTAATGAAATAAGCTAGACGCAGAAAGACAGGTGATGTTATTTGATTCCATTTATACGAAGCCCTTAGAAGGGGCAATTTGATAGGGAAAGTAGAGCAGAAGTTACCAGGGGCTGGGGCTGGGGGAAATGGGGAGTTATCGTTTAAGGGGTTCATAGCTTATGTTAGGTATGATGAAAAACTCGGGATCAAATGGTTAAAAGGATAAATATTATAGTATATATGCTACTATGATTTTTAAAGATGTGAAGTGGAGAAGTGATGTGAAAGGGTTGAGGCCATGGTAAGTACTTTAGACCCCTGGGAGTGAGGAGAAGAGCCACAGGAGAGCTCTGAGCAAAAGGAGGTGATGTGACTTGAGTCTAAACAGGATCCCGTAAAGCAAGACCTGCCTGGAGGCCGAATCCACCCGCCAGCGGCCCGGACCTTCAGAAGTGCCACGTGAGCCAGCGCGCGGGGACTGAGCGGGCAGGGGCGCCCCAGGATGCGCCGCCCCGACTCGCCATCGGGG